TGAGGAAGTCTCTCGGATGAGAGACGAAACGTTTCTACATTTTTTGTTGATTTGCTTTGTTTTGTTTTTTTGAATGTCCAGAGGACCAGATTTAACTTTTTTAGATTTTTCTACCTGGATTATTGAGCATGCATCAGGATACATTTGATATCTTTTGCACTGTTTTGCACTACAAGAAAGAAGCCCAATACTTGATTTGTTTATTATTTAAAAACTTTCTGGACCTAGTAGTGGAATTTTCTTAATTCAAAATATATGATGGCAAAAGGACACCCTATGCTTTTTAAATTCCTAATGCAAGTTTTATACCCAAAACATATTGCGATATATATCGTTATCGTCACCCTTCACAGTACATATCGTGATATGAATTTTGTTGTATGTTGTAAGACTCATTCACAAGAAGTCTCAGTCCAAGACTGACATGTCTTCTCCCCGCCTCGGTCCATTCAGAAGACACATGAAGGCGGAGAGGGGGGAGTGAAACACCCTACCTCTGTAGTGTCTCTTTACCTACAAGACCTGCAAACTCAAGGATTCAAAGATTCAAGGATTCAAGGTCCTTCATTGTCATTCTCATCGCATGTGGTAGATGAGGTAGAACGAAATTGTGTACACAGGGTCCCAGCTATATCCATCAACAGGAAGAATATAAATTGTAAAAGAATCAGTAAATAAGGATTTAAGATGTAAACTAAGAAACACGTTAAACTAAGTATACAATAAAAAGAAACAGTACGCCGGTCCTCCTTGCTCTATGTGCAGAAGAGGAACTAAATATGAACTTTACCGGCACAGTGAAGGATGGGTTGCATTTGGAGAGACTGGCAAAAATGCATGCAGGAGTGCGGATACAATTGTGACAAGAGTCAGGTTACTTTGAAACTTAAAACCCTAAAAAGAAAATTGCACCAAGTAAATGACCACAATGGTCTAAGTGACCGCGGCTGGATGGACTGGACATACTTCAATCTGTGCAACGAAATATGGGGCAAGAGCCATTCGGCGAATCATGTTGCTCTCATCAGCAGCTGGAGTGGAGTAACACGTAAGAGCAGCAGTTTTTTGCCACGCCTGTTTTGATTCTGCACTGCTTGATGTACCCTGAAAGCTCATTTGAGGACTGTGACTTATGAACAGCCAGAGGGAGCATATACACGAAATGGGCTGTGCAGGCATTTCGTGGAACAGTCTTCTGAAAGAGCCTATAATGTCTGACATTTTACTGTCAGAGGAAACTAAATGCTCTCCAATCTTACCAGTGCTGTTGGAACGTTTGCTTCCCAGTAAGCTCCATCCTGGCGGCAGTACAAGGTGGTGGAGGGCTAGTGCCAAGCTCTCATCCAGACGCTCACACTCTTCCAGGGGAATCTGACACTCATCCAGCAGCAGCGCCCCGTCAAGGCCATCAGCCCGGCCTGCTGTGCTCACCTGTAAGGAAGGTGATTTACAGAGTTGAGTGGAGTGTTGCTGAAGAGTAGAACAGAGGCCAAGTCGGATGGAAGCATTCGTTTTAACATTCTCAGCATAGAGATGTTAGCCAAATGGCAATGAATAATGAAAGCTCCAAATGTAGGAAGACATATCCGCTGAGCTGCAGCTGTGCTGACAGGAAGTCCTCAGGAAAATAATTTTATTGTGTCCATTTCCAGAGTTACATTTTTACAAGATGATGGATAGTGTGTAAAAATTATATTTCCAAGCCTGTAAGAAATTAAAGAAGCCACATCAAACATCAATGTTGTTTTACTCTGACTCTGCTCACAAGCCGGTAATGCTTGTTCCTTTTATCCTGTACTGTGCTGTGCTTTCATACTTCTGATTTTCCCCTGCTATTACAAAAATTGAAATGTCTCGCTGCTCACCAGAAACTGGGCCATGTCAAAGGCCAAATCTTGAACAAAGCTGAATCGATGCTCGGCCATTGGAGCCACGCGACCTGACCAGGACTTCGGGTCCTCAGGGGCCTCAGAGGTATTTCTGGTGGCTGAACACAAGGTGACCAACACCGCCTCGCAGCAGTCATGAGCTACAAAATGAAACAGGGAATGACAGAAAAAGAAAAAGGTGAGAGGAGAGAATAAGGAGAGGTGACAGAGGACAGGTCTGTGGAGGACGAAAATGCTGTGTCCAACATTAAAATCAATAAAAGTTAGGTTAGAACATTTTACACCGAGCTGAAAAATGCCTTTCCAAATTTGATGCCTTACAAACTAGAATGGGAAGGGATTTTAGAGTTAGCAGCATAACTTCTGAAAATACTTTAATAATTAGAAACATTACACCATTAGAGCTTTAAAGCAAAGTACCAGCAGGTAGCTAAATATGTACCATAGTCACAACTTCTGAGTTATTAATTTTAAAATGTTCCCTTTGTTAAAATGTTATTCAAATTTGTAACAAAACTGAAAGAAAAACAAGTTGTTTTTGTTTTTGTTCTTAAGGCAATCTGTTTATTAGGCTGGTGTCTTATCTCATTTATTTGTCCAAAAAATAATAATTCCTTGCTGAAAGCAATTTTATTGTTTATTGGCTTGTTTACGGGGGTCCTTGGGGTTCAAATTTTCTGATCAATTCTATGACACTAAGCTTAGCGCTATGTCAATGCCAACGAGGGGGTCACAGTTCGGTTCAGTAGGCGGGCACTCGGTTCTGATGATAGGGTGAGGCGCCCTGCTTGTATAATGGTAGAGTAAACACCGTTTTACGTCTTTGTGTCTCTTAAAAGCTTAATCTTCCCATTTTTGCTACTTTTGGCAGCCATTTTGAAATTTCAAGATGGTCACTTCTTGGCTTCTTCAAGACTAATGTATTATACACCATGAGATCCCTTGTATTGAAAAACATATGTTTAAACACCAAGATGAGCTGTTAATGAAGTCTAGAAGGATCACTATACATTTTGATCAATTTGACCTGTTTGACCATTTTGAAAATAGACATAAAATGGGGTTGAAAGGTGGGAAAATTTTATCCCCAATATTTCTGGTATATATGGGGGAGCGGTGGCACAGAGGTTGGAGAGGTGGGCCTGTGATCCGAAGATCGCCGGTTCACGCCCCAGCCCCGACAACATCAAAATTGTGGGTGGGGTAGGTGAAACACCCACACTTGCCCCCACCCTCATTCGCCCCACACTGGGCCCATGAGCAAGGCCCTTAACCCCCACCATGTGCTCCCTAAACAGGTCTCTCTTGAAAATGAGTTCTCGTGGCTCAATAAGACTAACCTGTATAAATAAAGGCTAAATGAAAAAAAAAAAAAATATATATATATATATGAGCCTATACCAAGGCAATAAAATACTAAAATTACTTTTGGCAAACAAAATGGCAAAAATGACGTAAGGCACCAGACTACAGTACATCTGTGTTGTCATCACTCTTTGTTAAATTCAGGTCTCTCTTGTAAATGAGTCCCTGAGGCTCAATGGGATTAACCAGTAGAAATAAAGGTTGAATATGTGCATCTGAAAATGTGTTTAAAAGGCACAAGTTGCATTCATCAGCAACAATACAGCAGAAAAACACAAACACAACTTTTACAACATTACTATTTTAATAATTTTGCTGACAATATGTTTTATATTTGCCGTTTGTAAATTTTCTAAAAGATTTATATAACCTTTTATAATTTTATGTAATTTAGAGCAATGGGGATGAACGTTAAGTACGGTACATACCTGAATATATGAAGGCTATACAAAAAATAAAAACATAAAAAACAACCACATAAAGAAACAAAATAATGTGCATCACTTACTTCGCTGTACTTGAATAAATTAATAGCTTTTTTAAATTAATATTGCTTTGACATAAGCATAAAACACTAGACGCATACTGCTGAATTTCTGGTACTACTACTACTATTCATTTATTTCTGGCACACATGACTCCCTGGGATATTTAAATCCATCTGTAATGTTATAAGTAAATCGTTGTCTCTATGTGATTCAATAAACTAAAGGCATTCAGAGCCTTTACACTGTGGAAGGAAACATGATCAAGCGGCACAACGGGCACAGAGGGAGCGTACCACCAGCTCTAGCTGGGGCTCATTTAATTAACTCAAATGTCAATTTAATACCTATTTTTCAGCTCTGTAAATGGTACAGTAAAATGGGGAGCTCATTTTGTGGTAATAATGCATAATAATCAGTGACAACAGGGGTACAGGCGTGCATTGCTGAATTAAAACTCTAATTCACACCAAGGCTGAACGTTATTTAACGTAATAAAAGATTTGTTCAACTCCCCTTCAGCCACAAGTCAAATCTGCTCCGAAAACAAAACAAAAAAAACACGACATGTAATAGGCTAAAGCTTTATGTAAATTGATAGCGAGGTGTCTTATGTCTTAATGAAGACAGAGGGGCTTTTGTCCACACGTGGCCAAATAAATACACACAGACTTCTGTTGTGTATACAGTATATATATGTGCAACACTGACTTGTTGGTTGTGATGTACTTGCCCTTACTTGCCTTTACATTCTGTATTCATTCACCAGTTTCCCCAGGGCACAAAATTTAATGTTTTTAGCATGATCTGAACTGGGAATAGTCCTCTCATGTCAAAGGCATTAATAAGTCCTCATATGTCAGAAATCTACCAAAAGTGTATCAACAAATAGTCAGATGGCCAAGAAGAAGCCGAGGAAAAAAAAATGTGTCTTGCTCTTAGAAATAATGACTTTTTCCAAGCCATCTGAACTGGTCCTTTGAAATTTGGGGCAGGCTGATGGAGAAAGAAGTTGAGCGGAGCTAGTCTGTAGAAGGAAAGTAACACCTTCTCTAAACTCCTGACAGACACCTGTAAATCAGCTGAGCTCTTAATAAGATAACACCGTCTATCAAAAGCTCTCTGCCTGTCAGGAAGGAAGACGCAACTTAAAACAAATCCAAGAACACTCTTTATGTGTTTCTTAAGAGAACTTACTGTAGTTATGTCTTTCCTAGCATTGCTTTCCCTGTTCTGTTTAAACCTTAATTTTGAAACCATACATAACAGTGTATCACATTTTCTGAATATTAATTGTTATGATCAGCCTTACCCCTTGAATGACAACAACTATTCTGTTCAGTGCCCTGAGATGACTTCTGTTGTGACTTGGCACTATATAAATAAACTGAATTGAATTGAACTATCTACAACATACTATTTCAACACTAAAGTATGGTCTTGTTTCATCATATGAACATTGAATTACTTGTTTGTATTTTTCATTTATTTATTTATTTATTGGGGCTTATTAAGATGTTGGGGCGCAGTTGGTAGAGCTGTTGCCTCTCAGAAAGAAGGTTGCCGGACTGAATTCCAGCCGGGGACCTTTCTGGGTAGAGTTTGCATGTTCTCTCCGCGCATGCGTGAGTTTTCTCCAGGTACTCTTGTTTCCTCCCACAGACCAAAAACATGCATGTTAGGCTGATGGATAACTATGGGTGTGAGTGAGAGTGAATGGTTGGTTGTCTTGTTTGTCTCTGTGACGGACTGGAAACCTGTCCAGGGTGTCTCCCACCTCTCACACAATAACTACAGGACATAAGCGCCGGCAACACTTGCATCCCAAAAGTGAGTAAAGATAATGGATGGAAGCAGTAGAAGTAGAGTTGTTTTTACTGCTGCAAAAGCTTTAAAAAAAAAAAAAAAAAAATTCTCTTCAAAACGGTGCAAGGCAAAAACACATAAAAGCTTTTGACTTGAACATTTTCACTGTACTTTTACCAAATAAGTTAAGACCGCTGTGTCAACTAAACAATCAAAAGCACAACCAGATTTTTTATTAATGTGATATTCAAACATGTTTTTCATGGTAAAATAATTAGAAAATAATAAAAGTAATCATCAAAAGAATTACCACGAATAAAACCGGTGACTGTTCCATCCTGATTTTTGTAATATGCTTCTTTTATTTTAGAACTAAGTTGATTTAGGCTCTTTCGCCATTATTTTGGCTTTTGATAAAACTTCAAACCAAATTTAAAATGATAAAGGAAAATTACTCGTACAGAGGAAAATACCACAATTTTGCCTAATAAGCGATAAATAATTTGCTTGATGTCGACATGATCGATGCCAGTTAAAATTTTTGCAACCACAATTTTAAACTGCGTGTTTAAACACTTTTCAATAAAACTGTGCCCAACCAAAATATCAGTAGTCGAAGCTGTGTAGAACCAGGTACCTATGAGTCCTTCAAGGAAAAATAATAGGTTTTAAGTGAAATAAAATAAACATTTTTTAAACAAGTTAATTTGTTCAATAAATATTTAGAATTTCTCCATTCTAAATTTCTTCTTTCATGTTAAAAATGGAGCAAACCTCTACCTTCTGTGCACAGTGAACTTTGACCAGTGACCTCAGCACTGCCTCTTGTTGCTCATTTATTAACCTTAAGGTAAGTACTTCCTGTCAAACATTGGCTAAATTTTAAATAAGCAAGCAGAAATTCACTCATTAGCTCCACCAGAACAAATGGCACAACCATACTGTGGCATGGAAGAGCAGAACAATCCAACTCTTCACCAAAGCATGATCATAAAATGTAAACATGTATTTTCAGACTCTTCATTTCAGTTTTCATTCACCTGAATTTATCTTTTCTTACAGTATGTACAACAAGTGGGGAGTCATAACGTAACATGAAGGAAGTCAACAGCTGGAACTAGGTGAGATTATGTGAGATTATTACTGTGGGTGGAGCTGCCTTCACATTATGGGTGGGGTGGCTCACCGGGACATAGCGCCTGCAAGGTGCCATCGCTGTTCCTTAAGGTGCTGGTCAGGTGTCTTTGTGTGCTTCCAGCAAACAGCAGGAAGTAGTCCGCGCCCTCATAATGTGCAGCCTGCTCTTCATCAGAGAGCTGCACGGTGACAATACAATGACCCTGCAACAACAGACAACAAGAGGAATGAGGCAGAAAATACTAAAGTAAAATAACAACACACATCCAAAAACATTTGCATAAAGCCATGATGGAAAATAAAGGCAACATGTTATAAATCTGTTTTATGTATTGTTCTAATGCACTGCTCCCTTCAAAACAATTATGTTTTTCCCCATTCTATTACTAATGACCTAATCATATATTATATTAAATGTATGAGAACTAAAAAGCCGCACATCTCAAGCACAGGTGTAAATATAAGTATCACCATGCCAATGGCACAGCTCGCTTGTGTCAGAACAATGCCGGAGCATAATCCAGCATTTATCCTCTTATTTTTATAGCCTATAGGTTGAAGCATGTCTGCAATACCAGAACTACTGTTAACTTGATAAGCAAAATCTATCAAAAAAGACTCAGTGACTTTGTCATATGCATCACATGTGGTACATGAGGTGGAACAACATTGTGTACTCAAGGTCCCAGTTACACACAAAAATAGCAAAAATATAAAGTGTAAAAAGAAACAGTATTCAAGGATCTAAGATATACTCTAAACAATAATAATAAAATATAACAAGATGTATTAAGCAGCAGCCTGAACATTTTCTGAAGATTTTTCTGAAAAAAAGAACACGTCATTGTATTTTTTTTTTCCTTTTTCTTTCAGCTGTTGTCTTCGTCAGGGGTCGCCACAGTGAACTAACTCACACGACAATTGTTTTTACACCGGATGTCCTTCCTGACGCAACCACGGACCACCGAGCTACCACAGCCCTCTGTGTGGAGCAGAGAGCTGCCATCTAGGGCACCCAGGGGAGCAGATGGTGGGGGTTAAGGGCCTTGCTCAAGGGCCCAGAGTGGGGAAAATGAGGGTGGAGGCAGGTGTGGGTGCTTCACCATTCCTACCCACATTTCTTGATGTCGGTCTGGGGGGGTGAACCTGCGATCTTCTGATCACAGGATCGCCTTCTCTAACCTCTGCACCACCACTCCCACTGTCACTGTATGTTTACTACTATTGTAATCCTCTATGATAGATAGATTAGATCATATTTTAGTAAAAACAATAAATGAATGCAAAAAAGTGTGATGTCAAATTGGCAGGTCAAACCAAAAAGAACAAGCTAAAGTAGATCTGTATATTACACATATCACAACTCCCTCCTTTGGTGTAAACAACCCACAAGTTACCCATTTTCCCTTGATGAGGCCTTGCATGCATGGCTTGGAGCGCATTTTCAAGAGCACATCTTTAAATGAGGTCTTCAGAATGAAAACTGATCCCCTGCTCAGACCTGACAGGGCCATTATGCTGGAAGGCAGATTTCTAATAAAAGCATTTATTAAAAATTGCATGATGATTCTGGTATAACTCTTTTGAATGATTCAATGTCCATTATTTTCAGAAAAACAATGTTTTTTTGTTTGGTAAACCATTGCAATAAAACACTATGCCTTGAATGTCTTCTATAAGAAATAAAGGTTTAAAATATATTAGAACACCCTAAAATGTCCTAAAGTTAAACAAAGGATTAGGAACACATGACAAGTATTTCTAGGCAGACAGTACTGCCCTTTACTCTATCAGGGTATAATCTGAGGCAGGTTTAAACATGTTGAAAATTGGATATTGCCCAACAGTGTTTGTAAACTAAAAGTGACTCACGTTATGAAGACCAAAACAGAAGTAAATGTAGTAAATCCACTAACCGAATCCTCTTTTGTTGAGCCAGAGTTGAAAACAGATGTAAACAAGATAGAATAACACAGTTGTCACAGCTGGTCCCCTCAGACGCAGATGACACTGGTTGTTATTCCTAATAAGCTCCACATTCCTTTGATACTGCAATAGGTACAAATTGGATCCCTGGTCTTCATACTATCAACTGGTGAGTCCATTTGCCACTCTTCCATCCATCCATCCATCCATTATCTTTTACCCGCTTCTTCCATTTTGGGTCACGGGGGTCGCCGGTGCCCATGTCCAGCAATCACTGTGCGAGGGGCGGGGTACACCCTGGACAGGTTTCCAGTCCATCACAGGGACACAGACAAACGAGACAAACAACCATTCTCTCTCTCACTCACACCTAGGGACAATTTAGAGTTATCAGTCATTCATTTATTCATTCATTCGTTCGTGCTTATCTGCTCACACTGACTCATGTTCGTGCTGCTGTTAGGCGTATTGTTTTTATGCTATTGGTGTTTAAGAGAATATTTAGTTCAGGTTTTTTTCTTAGTTCATATCTTAGATCTTATTACTGTTTTTCTTATACATTTCATTGTTGGATGTAACTGGGACCCTGTGTGCATAATCTCGTTCCACCACATGTGGTGTGTATGACAAATAAATCTCTCTGACTCTGACATACATGTTTTTGGTCTGTGGGAGGAAACCGAAGTACCTGGAGAAAACCCACGCATGTACGGAGAGAACACAAAAATCCACCCAGAAAGGCCCCCGGACCTGGATTTGAACCGGGGACCTGCTCGCTGAGAGGTGGCAGCTCTACCAGTTGCGCCACCGTGCTGCCCCAATTAGACTAATCCCTCAAATTAAATATGGTAATGATCTACCAATATTAAAAATATGCAAATCATTACTAAGATGCTGCAGACAAGAGATAAACCAAATGCAAACTCAAAATTTGGGGTGTCTATTTTAAAACTGTGACAATAATGGGGAAAAAAAACAGGTAAACAAGAAATAAAGAAAGAGTTTTGATTATTGAAAACAATTTATTGTGTTTTTTTAGCTAAGCTTAGTTTACTAACAAGCTCTCCACCTAAACTTGCTTCTTGATTTTTTTTTTTCAGTTTTCAATTTGTTTGTGATTAGACATGTTAAACTATATACATAAAAATAGCATTATCTACACATCAAAGGAAGTCTGTAAAAAAAAAAAAAAAAGTATTATCGATATTATGGGGGCCGAGATGGGGTAGAGGCAGGGCAGCCGCCTCGGGACCCGCAAGTCCCAGGCTCAATCCCCAGTCATTGCAAATCTCATGGTGTCTCTGAGCAGCACACCCTATCCTCAATTGCTCCCCAGGCACCCTCAATAGCTGCCCACTGCACCACCCAGGGGTGGATGGGATAAATGAGAGCCAATTTAGCCATTGTATAGGAACATACAATGATGACAATACATGACATATTATTATTATTAGTGATCCACTGCCAGACTGCCTTTCTTGAGACATGTTGTATACAAGACAAAAAGACTCTAAACTGTGTTCATATTGAATAAAATATGGGCAAAACCTAACCCAGTTTGATGTACTAGAAAATGATTTATATTTATAACTGCCTGTCTGTCCTACTTCTAAAGTCCCAAGTATGTCTGCATAAACATAACATTCAAGATTTCATAGCAGCTTTATTACTCATGGAATATAATAATACAGCCAATGACAAACTGTAAATTTCTGGCTTGATTCCTAGTATCTTCTCTGTCACATTTTCTTGTGGACCACAGAACAAAATGGTGTGTGCAACCTAAAACAAGATAAATAAGGAAAATGTAAAAGTGGACTATTTAAAACTTGATGTGTTTGAAGTCAGGATTTGGCGCGAAATAATAAAAAGTACAATTTTAGTGTTACAGCAGTGTCAAATTTACTGCTAAAGTGACAAAGGGCGAAGTTGTGGCTGCACAATGTGAAGAATGATGTAGTGCCATTTGGGGACTAACCAAGGAGGAGGAGGAATGGCATGAAATGGCGATATTGTTTAAATTAGCTGCTTTCCATTGTGGGACTGTAGCTTGTTGGCACCAAGGATGAATAATGAGACATTTCACCCCACCTAATCTGACGAGTGTTGCAGCCTTTTCACCAGCTCGGACCAACAACAGCAGCCAGACACGGCAGGCTGAGCTTTACTGGGTTAAAGGTACTTCCTCCTCGGTAGCCTCGGGGTCCTGTTTCTTCCAGAGGAGAACAGTTTGCAGGCAACAGCAAGGCTAACCAGCAGCTATGGGAATGGTAGGCCTCTATTTGGGAGGCCAGTGGTGTTGCTGAACAATTTGAAAGTGGAGAAAATGTGTTCAAAGTCGACCCAGAGACCACAGGCAGCAAGGCAGCCCCGAGTAGCCTTCTGACTGCCAGAACTGAACAAACTGAGGAGCATGGAGGTGCATGCTGCTTAGCTATGCTCAGAGTGTCACTTTTAACAAGCAGAGCAGAGGCACTGAAGTAAATGAGTTGTGGACAGGCGGAAACCAACAGGCATGACTTTCTCTCCATTAAAAACGCATCTCGTTTTCTTAGTCCCAACTAAAAAGTGAAGCTGTGGCAGCTTGTACTCCAGAGAGAGAATAAAAATGTATTGGTGTGAAATAAGCTCCACAGTTTTATGAACAACAAAAGAGAAGAAAGAAGAATCAATACATTCAATGTAAGAAATCAATATAATACTTGCATTTTTAAATAATTGTGATGTCTGTGTTGAAGCTTATTAAGAATGAAGAGGAAAGAAAAGAAAGTCAAGTGAACAAGATCATTGTTTGCTCCTTAGGAGTCAAATGTGTAGACAGCGATGGGGGTGGAGGTGAAGAAACAGAGATGTGAAACATCTGCTGGACGGCAGGAAACAGAGCCACAAACAGCAACCTTTGCAAAACATGCAAACAAGCACAAACACTGGAACTAATGTTGTCGCTGAAGTGCAATAACTACAATAACCAAAGGAAAACTCTTCCTCTTATTTGTCCAGCTGAAATGAAACAAAGAAACCTCAGTTTTGAAGCTGTGTAGTGTGTGTATGTTTGTAAATGGATGTCTGTACGACTGTGCGCTCTGCTGGTTTTAAGTACTTAACAAAGTGACCCGCTGAGGTATTGACCTGCTAATCATGGAGCTTCAACAAGGAACAGGCAGCTCTTTAGCGACATGAAAAGCACAGCTGGAGGCTATGAACCAAGCCCCTCGTTCTGAGTATGAACGTGCAAGTGAAGTCATTTCCACACATCCAACTGAGGCTATCCAGCAAAGCTAATGATTGACTTTAGAACATTAAACATCTTGTGGCAATAGATAAATGTGAAGATATAATCAACATTACAAGATAATGTGATACGGTTTAACAATATGAAGATTAGCCATGCAGAAACAGAAAACATGTCAAAGATGATGCTTCAGAAAGAACTGCATTGATGCAAAAGTAAATCTTTTTTAAAAGTTGTATTAGTGATGATTTTTCCACATTTTTAAGTGATAAAACATCCAACATCAAAGCAGAACATCAGTCATAGTCAGAGATTTATTTGTCATTCGCATCTCAAATGATACATGTGGTGGAACGAGATTATGTACGCAAGGTCCCAGTTACATCCAACAATAAAATGTAAAAAAAAAAAAAGCAATAAGATCTAAGATATGAACTAAGAAAAACATCAACTAAATAATACACTACGCACTAATAGCACAAAACAATATGCCGAACAGCAGCACGAACTGAGTCTGTGTGAACAGATGAGCACGAATGAACACATCAACATGAAACAGATCATCAGCAACATGATGTGGTTTTCACAGTTGTAGTGAACTAAGCCTCAGGTCAAATCTGGATCTGAGGGCCTTCCTGGGACAAGAACTGTTACTTCATTGATTTGAGTCCAGAAGCACAAAATTAAGTTCATCCAGAGACTTTCTAAGTGTGTCCTGCACTGATCAATTGAAATAACACTCTCTTTTTATTATCATTACTATTTTACAATGTCTTGATAATCAAAAGTGTGTTTAGTTCAAACCATTTTAAATGTTGAAGTGAACTACTCATTTGAAATCAACTGTGAAACAGTATTAATGATTTTTAATCCTCATTCAAAGTAGAAATCAAGTTAATGTTTGTTACAAGAGTAATTATGCATTTTGATTTTCTGTCTGAAATGAGCAAGTTGTAAGTTGGTCAAAAGTCAAGTTTCGGTCAAAAACATGTTTACTGGAAAGAAATGTCATGTTTAACTTTTTCAGATAGATAAAAGAGGACTGGGACCTAAAAGTCTCGGTTCTTCAAAACATCTTTCTGTCTGTTCTTTAAAACAATCTAATCTTTCTCCTTGACTTTTAATAACCTCTTACATCACTAAGACCACACCCCTGTTGGTTCTATCAGCCAATCAGGAAGTTCTCAGAGGAACCGGAAGTGACCTCTTTAAAAGGTTCAACACTTCCTAGTTCCATGCAGAATGTGGAGTGCAGAATGCTGGAATGAACAACGAGAACAACGG